CCTTCCGACATATTCCACAAAACCTACAAATGTGAGCTACATCCCTAACCCTATCAATTCGGATTGGTAGAAATACAAGAAATTGTAATGTTTTACTGGTCAATCCTCAATGAATGAATTTTCATTGGACAAAACTAGACATACAAAGATCAAGTTTGGTCGGAGTAACGGTGATATTCATCCATATCCCATTACATTGTACAACGCCTAAGTTGCTAGGGATTGACGATTGCAATACTCTCGTCAAGCTCCCACTCAACTAACTACTAACTAGTTACTAGTTAGAGGCACACCATCGCATTGTCGTTTCCAATATCAATAACCTCCAATGTATACCCCGCATGTACATACTGTACGGGTGGTACATCAGTGGTGCAGTGACAGGTTACTCCAGTTACATTATGTATTCCCGTTACCGGTAATGTTAGCTACGACTTTCTTGGAATAAAATGCGAATTTAGAGAATTTCAAACAGCATTCTTACTGCGCACCAATATTGCCATGTGTGAGAAGTACACACAGCTAAGACTGGTTAGCTACTGTATTGAATGAATGGATTAATAACGTTACACAGGTACTACCTCTGTATTAGGTGGTCTGGACAGATCAGCAATCTGACGTAACCTTGCCGAGCATATTATTCCAGCGACTCAAACGTAGCATGCATGATCTCGGCGACTGTTTTCGCGTTTGCTTTCAAGTCATCCAACGTCAACCCCGTGTCATTTGTTGTTGGCAACTCTTCTACAAGCCGATGGACGAGCCGCGCTTCATTGGGAAACACGCGACGTTCTTTGTTATGCCTTGTCGGCGCTGCCTTGGCCGCGCCGCTTTCATGCGACTCACGGCCATGCCACTGCATGTCTCGCTTGACTTTGCGGTAGGCGTGCCATGCATATTGCACATGCTCGTGAAGCAGTCGTCCGTATTCCAAGCCCCGCCGATGGCGGTACCGATACGCACAGGTCCCATCGAGGCGGCGGGCCAATGGACACTTATCATGGCCGAAAGCCGACGATAGCGGAGACGCACATGCATCCACACAGAGAAACCACTTGACGGCGCTGTTTGGGTGGGGGAAATCCGCGACAAGGACGGGTGATGAGTTGGTGGCCTTGGCCGCCGCCGCGAGCATCTCATTGGCATGATCCAGATCGATGGGGTAGACTTGCAAGACGGCGGAGCCCCGTGGTGTGAGTACACGGGCGATTTCCATGAAGCATTGAGTTAGTTGGTCTGGAGATAACCACTGCAACATTGAGATGGAGATGACATGGTCGAATGTGTGCGAACGGAACGGCAGCGAGAAGGCAGCACCACACACGTAGGATGACGGTGTCAGCGAGTTGGACGATCTAGCGAGCTGCAGCATGGACAAACTCACGTCGACTCCCACAGAGTGTGGCGGAAGGTGCTGCGTGGACAAGCCAGTGCCGCAGCCCATGTCGAGCATTGGCGAGGACACGACGTGGGGCGGCAACAGAGACAGTGCCATCTCGGTCAAGTCCTTCTGGATAGTGCTATTTGCTTCGGAGTGGTAGACATTGGCTTGGTCCACCGAGTAAAACCGGTCTGGCTGTCGTGACCGCCGCTCGGGAGGCGGTCGATTGTACGGCATCAGCTGTTTTTCAAATTCACAAACGTTAATGATTGGTGCACATGAATTAGCGCTGGTTAATGATTAACGAACGTTTGGCAGCTGTCAATATTTTTCAGAATAATTGAGGAACTGTGTCACTTTGTTGTGTTTATTTACAGTACGTAGGGCACAAAGTGGACGGCAATCCATCCCCCTTGATAGAAACTGGGTGATTTCTTGGTACTAGTACTATGCATGCAGTCATCTTGCGAAGGATAACCTGATACAGTAGCAAGCTACTGTAAGGTAGCTTACGTATCCTTGCAAAGCTGCCGCCGAACAAACACCCTGTATGTGTTCACTTTTCATTGACAGCTATTGCTCCCAATTGAAGTTGAAATACCCTAAACAGCATTTCCGCATGGAAAATCCACGTCCTCCGTACAGTACAGTGTATATGTACACTTCTCAGTCCGAGCGGAGCAACCATCTTGGCGACTACTAGTACTTTCATGTCGGCTGTGCAAGTAGAATACCTAAACCTCAGTCAACCGCTCATGACGTATACTAATAGTCTGTACGTGAGGGTCTACATCCAGCGGAACGATGCGCAATGTAATTGATAGGTTTGAAGCCACTACCGGTAGTACAGTATGCGTTGCTTCAGTGGACCTTCTGTAGGGCACGTGTACCCTTTTTCTTTTGACCGCTTTTAAAACGTTGGTGCCTGACCAAGTTGCAAGAGACTACATAAAACGTAGCACGTTAAACGCAGCAGCTGTCAATTCACCTAAGAAATGCAGCAAACCCCTTTGAATGCATACTGCAAGCAACTGAAAATATCATTCAATTCACGCAACGCATAGCAGTAACAATGTATTCAAACGTATCTTGTTAAATATAATATACACTTTGTTAATTTAATCAAGGTTGTTTATGCATTGATTTCGGGATTATGTAACGTAACCTATATGCCTTACACTAGTGTGTCCCACCATGAGGTACGTTTGGGTTTGGGGGCCTTTTTCGTGTCACTGCCAGGCAGCATTTCCTTTTTTTACATTTGCTACATCTGCGCAATCAGGCCCGGATGGCGATGGCAATGTCGATGGGCACGATGAACCAGGTGTTTGTGGAGGGAGCGGCGGAGGAAGCGCCGCGAATCCTCCGGCAGGACCAGCTTATGCTCCCGCACATGTACGCTCCACTCAAGTCCACGTCGGCGTGCCACGAATGCACCAAAGCGTTCACTACCTTCCGTCGCAAGTACAACTGCCAAATGGTACAGTTCCCAGCCATTCCTTCCATCTCGCCCTGATCGCTGATCTGCTTTGTAGTGTGGGGAAGTAGTATGCCGCAACTGCACCGTTGCGTACGTTGCCGAAGTGTCAAAAGACGTAATCGACGCCAAGGTGTGCATGTCGTGTGTGTCCATCGTGGAAGCGGAGTACCACGCGTCCTTGTCAACGTCAGCGTCATTTCGATCATCCCCTCAAATCAGTCAGCTCCGAAACACGGCCCTGTCCGCGAGCTATCGGTCGTCATCTGGTAGTGTCGATGTCGGGTCGTACTCTGTGGAAGCGCAACTGGACGAGCTGCGTACCGCGCGATCGATGCCCGCTTTCTCGCCGGCGCTGGAGGACTATTCATCCGACCTGAATGCCTTGTCCGGCGTCAACTACCCCGTCCAACTTGTGACAGCCACGACCCCGTACGAGTACGCCCTCGACTACAGCTGGGCCAACCCTTGGCCCAAACCCCCCGTAGTGCCCAACGACGCCCAGCGCGTCCAAGTACTCCGCAGCTACCCCATCCTCGACGATGGGTCGGTCCAAAGTTATGGATTTGGCGCGATTTGCGACTTTGCAGCCCAGGTGCTGCGCTGTCCCGTGGCGGTGGTGACTGTCATCGACGAAAAGTACGTCCGGTTTCAGGCTAGCGTCGGGCTCGCCCAAGACAAAATTCCCCGCAGCGTGGCGTTCTGCGCCCACGCGCTCGTCTCCAAAGAGCCGACGGTCGTGCTGGACACGACCGTGGACACCCGCTTTCTCGCCAACCCGATGGTCACGGGCGCCGGCATCCACTTTTACGCGAGCGCTCCCATCTGCGCTCCCAGCGGACATGTGTTGGGCACAGTGTGCGTGATGGATCAGTCGGCGCGCCCTCTCGGCGTCGACGTGAGCTTGCTCGAAGTGCTGGCCAACGTAGTCGTCAAGAAGCTTGAAGATTCGGAGCGGCGGCGGCTCCCTAGCACGAGCAGCATGCGAAGGTCTTCCGAGGACCGAGGGGCCTCATCGTCGCAGGACGGCGGCAAAGGGACAGACAGTGGACATCGGCGGAGGAGTACCAGCAGTAGCAGTTCCACCGTCACGCGGAGCCATCGCACGTCGTCGAGTGACGTGGCGTCGTCGTCAACCACGAACCACCCTCCATACCACCCCCCATACCCCGAGGACTTGCACCGGGTGTCGAGCGTGGGCAGCTCCGTGGCCGCAGGCGGCGCCTCGCGAGATAGCTCGATGGGTCTGACCGACGGACCAAACAACAACCAACCGCCACAGCAGCAGCAGTTTTTTCTCGCCCCAAACGAATTGAAGCCGCGCACGCAGTGGGTATCCGACTCGAAGCGCCACGACTGCCAAGTGTGCAACCGGAAATTTTCCATGTTCCTTCGAAAACATCATTGCCGCGTGTGCGGCGAAGTCATTTGCAAGAACTGCGCCATGTCTACCATGTTGGTCAAGCGCGACAAGAAGGTGCCGATCACGGCATGCTTGGACTGCCTGCGATCTCGCACAACGGACGCCCCCCCCCTTCCCCCCAACAGCCACTCTACCCGCCGCCGCCGCCCCGTTGATGAGGACACGATAATTCTGCATCCCCATGGAGGTTCGACGACTAGTCCCGAGGCACACAACACCCTTGAGGGCAGCAGCAAATCGTCGCCCGTAGATACCCCTGTCGCCACGCCTTGCGACCTAGTCGAGCCCGAACCTGCCGAGATCATTCCCGTCCTGCTCCGCTATCAAGCATACGACGTCGACACCAACTTGGCCATGTACAGCAATCACGAACTGGTCCTCGACTCGTCGTCCGCGGTTGCCCCCGTGGCCCGCGACTTTTCTCAGCAAGAGATTCAGTCCATGCTCGTGCGCCTGCTTTCTCAAAGCAACGACATCCAGCATCAGATTGCCCAAGTGGCGCCGCCCCTGCCTGCTTCGTCCCGTCGAAGCGTTTCACGTTAATTTAACACTGTGTTTATCCGATACGACGAGACTATATTCTTGGATTGTACACTTTTTGTGTCCATGTTTGTTGCGCATAACGTCAACGTTAGGATTGCAAATCCCATTTCGTCCGTCGTGGGCCATCCTCGTTCATGGCTTGATTTGGGATGAGGTGTGTGCAATCACATGCTACGAGCCATCATTAGTATATTACCTTGGTCTGTTGCCACATGGAAAGAGCAGCTGGTTGGTGGCCACAGCTTTGCCAGTCGAAAAGGCCATAGAAAAGTCTATGCACTGAAGTAATTATTAGCCACTTGTTTCTATCCCACTAGGGCTTTTCAATTTAGGGGTTTTCGACCAGTTACACACGTCGAATACGGATAACTATGGATTGGATCCGGAAGCGAAACGGGTAATGTACGTCCAAACAGTGGGACTCGTAAATCAATTGTCAATATGAATCGTACTTCGAAGTACTTCGAAGTATTAACGAGAGTACTAGTACAGTATAGGTAAATAATTTTCGTCATGAAAAGTGTTTCGTAAGCCATTCTCTGATATCGGGCAATCTGCTGGGTTTTTACGTTTACGTTAGATACTAGTAGTATGTATAGAGCCTGGTCCGAGTAGTAAAACCTCGAATGAGGTATGATAGGAACGAGATCCCGTTCGCACTTGCGACATACCCACTCATAATTATTTCATTGGCCATTATTCGCGGTTTTCGAATTCTGTACTTGGAACAGGTCCTAAACCAGCCAACCATTCCACGAATTCTGTACAGGTCCTAAACCAGCCAACCATTCCACAGCATACGGTATGCCAAAAACGAAATCGGCAGAGGAGCCAGACGTGATCAGTGGAGCTACTATTGATAGTATCCGTCACAATCGCCCATGCTAACTGTAAATACTTCGAAGTTCGGCGCAGTGGTTAGTGATAGAGAAAGTTGATGCGGTCATGCGTGGCAATAAGTGGTTGTCGATGGCGGCTGCATAAGTACCCTGGTACCAAGGGGTCACCCCATTCAATCAACAATTCCATGCTGGTTTGACTACAGTGTAGTCATTCATTGGCTGTGCCTAAATTTCGTTTTGACCAATAATAGTTAATGAATTATCCACCTCATACCCATACGAATGACCACCCAAAGGTCATTCGCAAAAACGTGAGGTAGTAGAATTCAAAATACGATGTTTTGATTGGCTCTACCTCATTCTGAGTTCTACTCGGAACAGGTTCTTAACCTGTTCCGAGAATCAAGTAAGTGCGTTACCTTGACCGCTAACGTTACAGTAACGTTAGTCCGACATAAACTTGATCAAGTTTTGTGTGGGCGCATGTGTTGGGCATATTTGCTAAAGGTCTCTATTGCAACTTATCGTATAACAGTAGTTACGGCACAGGTATTTGTAATTCGAAGCATGTACTCAAACCAGGGCCTTAAACGAAGGCTCAACGTTGCACCGTCGAAATGCCCCTGGGTGTGAAATGATGTTTGATGGTTGGGAAGTGATTGTGAAACGCTTCACGGTTACAAACGATGTTTCATCGGCGCAAGAAAGACGGGACGTCGCCGCAGACTGGTAAGCTTTTGTGGATGTCGATGAAAATTGGTGCTAACTCAGCGAAATGCAACCTCCCCCAGCTGCCGTCCTGCCATGTCTCCCATCGCCGCAATGTATGGTACTTTTAGCGCTTGTCGAGCATTTGGCAGCACACAAAGCACACAAGTCCAAGTTGTTCCAATCTGAAGGCAGACCATCCGAGAGGAAGGTCCTCCTGGAGCAGTTCTACGCTGGAGTCCACACAGCTTCTCTCAAATCGGTTTCGTCCCGGTCCATGTCGTTTGTCTTGCGCCACGTACAGCTCAGTTACAGCCGCTTTCTCTTGACTCTAATAATGTGGCTTCATTATAGGTGTTGGTGACCCAGTATGCCCCACTGTTGCCCTATGTTGCATACGATAAACTGGTTGCTGCGATGCACGCGTCCAACTTGACAGTGTTCACTGCCGCAGTCCAGGTGGAGGTGACAGCCATGCCAATTTCACACGCCAAACTTCTCCATGGGCTGCTTTTCCTTATGCGCAAGGTGCAAAGCCAATGCTTCATTTACAACTCTTCAACCTCGCATGAACGGACCAGGTATCCGTGCAACTCACGGTGGCGGAAGACGGGTTGGTCACACATTTGGGTGTGCACTTGTGTCGACCTTCGGAGCACCCCTTAGCCCTCAAAGGTATATCTTTAGCCGTAGCCGTATTACTTCACATTTATGGTATAGGCTCTGTTGGAGTGCGCAGAGATATGTGTCGACGATTGTTGCTAGTACTCACATCACTCCGCTTTCCTGACGAGCCACCAGTACGAGGCCCTTGAACTCCTCAACAACTCCTATCTGAAGCAACTTTGTGTGGTGTTATACATAGCTCGTTGTGGCCCCTTCCTCCGGTCTTCGCCGACGAAGCAGCTGTCGCTCGTGGACGCTGGCCCTTGTCCAAGACACAGAACGCCTGTTGTCTCACATCGTAGCCTCTAGTGATTCCAAACGCGACTTGTTTCTTCGATTACCCGACGCAGCTACCGTTCATGCCCTTTTGTCAAACTCGGTTCCCGCGGCCGAGTGTTCCCTTCACGATGTCGCAGGCGCCGTCAAAACAGTACGCGTGTTCCTTTTTTCGGTGGCCTGAGATCATACATTCGTTTCGACTGGAATAGACTCTATATCGAAGAGATGCGTTGGTGCCTGTGGAGATCTACGCGTTGTGTGACGACCCGGATGCACGTGCGTTCAGCCTCGCGTTGTCGTGCGTGCCTCCATTTCCCCGCCAAATCCTGGTGCTGCTGTTGCGTTGCATGCAGCAGGTACATAGTTACCGCCGATGTCGTCGTTTCGTAGGTATCAAGAACAACTTCTGAATATTTCACATGGGTAGGCCATGCTTGATGGCGCGTCGGTGGACTTGCTCAGTGCGTCGTTGTCGTGCTATATCTTTCACGAGCTCAAATTTATCGGTCCCGTGCGTAAGTTAGTTTAACGTTATACATGGACCAAAAGGGCAAACTCTCACATGTAATGTAGAAGACGACCATCGCCACCACGAGCTAGACCGGTTGGCAATTCAAGTTCTCGGTTGCGTGGATGGGATTCTGACGCGACACCGTCATAACCTTCTGAAACCACTTAAGGCCGCAGTATGGGTCGTGCGCGTCGGGCTTGGTGTGAACAGACACCGCCAAGTCGTCGGACAAAAAGCATTGCCATTCATGGATGTTCAAGGGGACAATTCAGTAGGAACGGCTTCAGGCCACACTGCCGCGAAAATGGAGAACACCACAAGACCCTGTGACGACGTGACAATGAAATTGTTGCTGGAGGTCAAAACAACTAGCACGAAGGAGGCCTTGGATGATCACACTGGTCATGCGCAAAATGTACTTGTCGAACCTCTATCATTGACGACAGCAATGGACAGTACCGCAGTGGTCGTTGAATACGACAATGCGAGGACTGCTCCTGCAGTGAAAGCGGCCTCACTACACGATCAAACGTGGCAGCTCGCACACGAAGCCGCCGACGAACCAAACTCAAGCGAGGCCGTTCAAATTGACGATTCACCACACCAACAAGTCGCCGCAGTAGCTGTGTCCCTGCCAAGTAGCAAGGGCGCCTCGCCAGTCCGAGTTGCGATTCTAAAAGCCATCCACAAGGCTACAACTTCCATAATAAGCGCAAATCCAAATACCGAGGCCAGTCCAAGAGTTCAGGAAGTTCGCGGCACAACCATGACGTCTCGGTTGCCTACCAAAGTGTCAGTTAGCGACGATGTACACTCCAAGAACGCAGCTATTGCATCCTCCACAACGCTACCTTTGACGAATGGATCCGCGCCAGCCATGACGACGCAAAACGCGCTTTCGAATGGCGCCGTCACCTCCAGCTCCCCTGTAGTCGCCTTAGACATATCAAGTGTAGCTACCAAAACTCCTATCCATCAATCACAACTGACTGAAGAAGTGTCTGCCTCCCACCCACAAGGAGACTCGAAAATGGTCAGCAAGTCCACGTGCAAAGCTGTGACCCCAGACATCTCTCCAACGACACTTATGATATCATGTGACGCCATGGCTATGGCGAACAACACTGCCGGGTTCCCATTGACTCTATGTTGTGACTCTGAACCCCCTCCCCCCTTGCACCACAGCCCCCACGACGACATGACGAGGCGACTTCTCCAGCAGCAACCTCGATCCCTCGCAGATGAAATTGTACAGTACACTAGCCACTGCAGCGATTGTCGTATATCCGTGTCTGATGATGCATTGTTCGTAGGCGATGTGGGAGCACTGGAGCTCCATCAACGTTTTTGATTCCACTGGGGGTTCGTGTGTGCCGTGGGATGTCATTGCGTCGTTCACAGGGGACCAAAGCTCGGCAGTTTGCCGTTTGGATGCGTACCATGATGTGCCCCTGGTGCAACCGGCGGCCCTGTGGCGGGTCCTGTTTTCAATATATGACACATACAAAGCGTCCAAGCGCGAGTTGGAGTGGTGTGACGTCCAAAACCTCTGTAAGGACTGCAGTCTGTCCAGTCAACACGTTCATGTTTGGGATTTGTTTGCCCGTCTGCGGGCGCCTTCGAACATGGGCTTGGGATTTCACGAGGTACACACGTTGTGGAGGAGGCGTGGCTGAAGTTGGTGTAGTTCTACGTATTGCTTGCGCATTTGGAGCCACTTGACGCGCCTTCAGCATCCACGACCCCTCTGCATGACATCCTCCTATACTATCTCTTGCCTGGCGCGCGACGAAAGTACGCCAAGCTCTAGATATATACTGTATCCACGGATCGTTCGCAATATATAATCAGTGTCTACACTAGTGGTGCCGAGGCTGCGATTGAGCGCGTAGCCGCGACGACCCGACCCCGTTGGTGGTCCCACGCATTCAAGCGACTCCTGTATCCCAGCATGGCAAGTATCAAGCAGGTTTTTCAGAGATTCGGTAAACAGCCAGCCCCCACTACCCCTGCTGGCAAAATGCAAAACGTTTGTGGACATGATGTAGCCGCTAACCAAGCCAAATCGACTGTCGACACTGCAGCCAGCCCCATGTGTTTTGGTTTCCCCCAGGTGGGCCGGCGATGCTCTCCTCATCACAAAAAACGTGATGGCGTACATTGTAGTTGTCGGCCCTGCTCCACGCGCTTTGTATCGTTCCGGAGCTTGCCACCGAAGCTCATGTCCGCGCACAATTCAATCTATTGCTTGACAACCAGGTAGATATGATACACTTCAACTGTCCGTAACCCCGAAGCCATCGTTGTTGTCCAGGACGAGTCCCCAGAGGTGTCGTTCTCGATGGGGCTTGCGTGGGTGCTGGAACTCGGCATGGAGCTACTAAGTCACCCAGTCCTCAAGCCCATCTATCCGTCCGACGCCGACAAGGTACGCATGAAATCATCGCCACAGTAGAATGACGATTCACTCTGACGAATGGTAGTTGCTCGTGATGGTGGACGTTTGGGGGCTTGGCGACGTAACATTCGTCTCAAATGCGACTTGAATATATATATATATATATACAGCCATAGTGCTGGGATAACGTTCCTTTTTTGATATATAAGCATCGGGCAAATACTGCGCAAAAAGACCTAGCAACAAGCTCGCGCGTTCCAGTGATGGGGCGGCACTTCAATCGTACGAGGTCGCGGTTACATGTGGTCATCGGGTCTTGGATTCTCCACATATAATTGAAATACTTCTTCAGATGTGGTACTATCCTCTCAACCTATTGAACGCTGGGTGACGGGGCACCGAATGGCGAGTGTATGTTGGCGGTAGCAGAAGTCGACTCAAAACTCTTTGCTACCGACGATGGCGAGAGTGAAAGCGAAGGACATCATCCCGGGCGCAATTGTTAGTCCCTGCATGGTCGGTCGGATCTGCAGCTCGAGGCAATACACAATAACTTGTGTGCATAATGATCTGCATACGGTAAGATATCAAGCGAATGAACCGCCATCTAAACGTTCAGCGCGCGCCTCGTACTCCAGAGTACTACTACGATGTACTATTATAGTGGTAGTATGAACAGAAAGTACGTACTACTTCGATGAACTCGTCGTAGTACTGTCAGTGTTCTCGGCTCCTTCGCATCGAGTGAGTGTATCGCGCGCGTCATATATGTACTGAGCACATACTGCCCCACGCAGCTGTGGCCAGACCTGACCAACGATCCGCGGCGACTATGCATCTGGCGCGCAGTACTGTAGTTTGCTACCAGGCATCACAACACCCATCTGCAATCGATTCCTACTGAATTCCGTATTGGATCGGCCTTAGCTATCCAAGAAGACTACTCCAACACGTTCACCCTCACCCCACTGAAGCGTTTTGCTGTTCACCCGCCCCACGGACATTGAAATCCGTCCTCCGCTTGCTCCACATAGCCCCACCTGGCAATGCCGGACGGTTCATGGCGTTCTTCAAAGGAGACTTTGGACACGTTTCTTTACACGGATCGTGCCAGCCAAGCTGGCGCATCGCAAGCAATACAGTGATAGGCGTACATTTTGGTTTTTATTCGATCGCCGCCGCCATCGGCACCATCGTTTGACGCCATTCTGGATTCTCCTTCCACATGCGATCGTCGCCTTCGTACTTTTCCAGTTTCCAAATCGGGACGCGGGCTTTGAGCGTGTCGATGGCATACGCCACGGCCTCGAGCGCTTCCCGTCGATGGGGTGAGGACACGGCAATCACGACACTCGCTTCCTTGACGGCGACCACCCCCAGCCGATGAAACACGGCGATTCCCACCACGCCAGGCCACGTTGCCCGGATTGATGTACATATTGATCGCAACTCTTTCTCGGCCATCGGCACGTACCCTTCGTATTCGAGGTGCACGACCTTCTTTCCTAGCCAAACGGTCAATCCCCTCCAATCCAACGACCATGTACGAACCTTGAAAGTCTTCGCGGGTGGTTCCAATAAACGTGGAGATGCCGCCAGCGCTCTCATGGGTCACATGAGCCACGGCTTCATCGTGGTCAAGAGCCGCCTCCGTCACGCGAATCAAATCAAGGACTACCGCCATCGTCAAGGTGATCAAGGTTGACCTCTCCGGATATGGCCACCAAAAAAGTTCAACAGGAATTTGGTTGAATTACGGTTACTGTACTTCAACTCAATCTGTAGCACGACGTTGTACTCTAGAAGAGCGAATAGTCATATTGCACTGTTGTCTGCTTGGGAAGATCTGTCACCATGGATTGAGACCATGACGAGTTGCGCGCTGGATTGCTGGCTTGGTGGGCGTTGTTGCTGTTAACGTCAGCTTCGACTTGGCCAAGAATTATCCGGAAGTTTTGCCGTTAGGCAGCTAATTTTCAACCTCGACGGTGGGTAATTCGTAACGACAGGTGCCGAATGTTGCCGACGATACGCTTTCCCCAAGATATGTCATTTCTACACATAACTTGTGACGATGGAAATGCTAGCCCGCATTGAAGGCGCTCTCTTGGGCCTGTACGTGGGCGATGCTGTCGCCATGCCTGTGCATTGGATGGTAGCTATCCCCTCAGTACACTCCTGGCTTGGCTAATGGCATGATTTTTGCGCAGTACAACCTACAGCAGCTCGAGGCCGACTACGGTCAGATCACCGGATACACCAAACCCAAGGATACGTTCATGGGAAGCATCATGAACTTGTCCAGCACAGGCGGCGGGGGTCGCGGCAGTGACAAGGGCGACGTCGTGGGGTCGGTGATCTTGCACGGCAAAAAGCAGTTTTGGGTTCGTGGCGGCAACTTCCATTACCATTTGGGGCTTCAAGCTGGTGGGTAATGCGCACTTTCGCAAGTATTTCAGCGTCAAGTATAGGGGAAAACACGCTGGAGGCGCAATTGGCGAGGCTGCTCGTGCGCACGCTGTCGACACCTTCGTCCGCGGCAACGACGCCCCCGGCCGCAGCGTTCCAGGCAGCGTACATCGAGTTCATGACCACACCTGGGAGCCACAATGACACGTATGCGTCCACGTGTCACCGCATGTTCTTTGCGAATTGGGCGGCGGGGATGCCTCCAAACGACTGCCCCGACAACGACGGCCACAACGTCGACGCCATCGACCTGCTCACGCTGACTATTCCCGTGATTTTGAAGCACGCGTCATCCCCTGCCGACGAGCGCAACCGCCACGTCCGCGAGATTATCGCCGCGACCCGCCATGCGCCCACGATGACCAAGTACGCGGAAACGTACGCGGACATCCTGGTCGCGGTGCTGCACGGCCAGGACCTCCGCACCACCATCTCGAAACATGGCGGCAGTGACGTGGCGTCGTCGCTGCGCCGGAAAGATCCGATGGTGGCGTGTTACATGGAGTCGTCGTTCCCGGCACTCCTCCATTTCGCCTACAAGTATGCCGACAGCCCCGAGGCCGCTGTCTTGGCCAACGCCAACGCCGGCGGCGAAAACGTCGCGAGGGGGGCAGCCCTGGGGGCGTTGATTGGAGCCGCACATGGGAAGATGGGGTTCCCATCATGGGCCAAGGATGAATTGTACGCCAAAACCGCCATCAACTCCGAAATCGACCACTTCCTGAGCTCGTTGAATACGTGTAGTTAGTTCAGCGCACCACTAACTGTTCTCGTACGGAGTACGTATACGTATAGTATGAAACAACACGTTGATTTGTCTCTAGCACCTGCAGTATGTAGAGTGAGTAGAGACACACATTGGACTTTGCAACGAAAATCGGTTCAAATCAATACTAATATACTAATAGGTAAAAATTTCAAGTATTTTTGAAAATCTGTATGATCTAAACAATTACTATATTATTTTTAGTCAACTACCACGATATCGTTCCGTTCCGTTCCACCATTGCAAGGTTCATATTATGTGTCTAAACCAAAAATCGCGTATCGAGGTTTGTGTGGTCGACATATTACGCGAACCTGTTAAGTTATCCTATTTGCCACACTCCTATGCCGTGTGGTCCTACTGCGATGATAGTAGTAGTCCTGTACTAGTTTTTGCTATACAGACTGATACGGCCCCGAGAGGTCGGCTTCCGCTCCTCTTCCTCTGGCAGCCACTGACGGCACGTCCATTTCCGCTTCCGCTTCTGTACCTTCGTTTTGGTCTTGCCAGAACTGTTGCATCCATTCTGGCCAGAAATAACTCGCCACCAACACAAACGGAAGGAATGGCAGCGCCAGCACAATCACCACGGGCACCATAAATACCCACCCAGAGATGCAAAAGCAGCCGAGGAAGGCCGACATGGCCGAGTCGCGGTCACTGATGAGGCACGGCACACAGCAACACGCCAACGCCGAGCATGCCAGGGTCAGGACCAGCGCAGGTGGACCAAATATCACGCAAAGCGCGAGGCGAAACAGAAACATCATCGCTTTGTGCGCGAACGACGGCTTGCGAGTCGCCGCCTCGGACATTTGCGCGCCGGCACACCCAGCTAAGTTCCACCACTACACAAAAACACAAGATAGATGACGTCTTTCACATGTTTGACTTCCCACGAGATACATTGTATATCCTGCGTCCACAACAAGTACACAAGTAGGTCGAGAAGTACACAAGTAGGTCGAGAAGTACACAAGTAGGTCGAGAAGTACACAAGTAGGTCGAGATCATCACTCTTGACCAGGCAAAGTAAGAGCGATGGGAGGGGGGGACTGGACGTACTTGAAAATGCTCGGGGAAGACCCCGTCGCCGACTTCTTGGCCACACAGCCAGCAAAAGTTGATGCCGCAAGTGATGCATTTCATTTGATTGCATCCGCCTACATCATGACGAATAGAGTCTGTCAGTTGGACAAAGCGAGGTCGATTGATATGTATGTGCACGGACCGCTCTTTTCTACGGGGGACTTGCAGCCTGGACAAAACTTTGCGATTTGGCTGATCTTGGCGTGGTTCAGCTTGTCTTCTGCGCGGCGCGCCTTTTCGTAGTCGGCGCAAGACATACCAGGATGGGCATTGCTGTGGCTAAAGCAGTAGACTTGGCGGCACGCGTCGCATGAGATGGTCGGGTTGGCGGCGGCGCTCACTTGGACGTGGTGGCAATGCGGGCATTCTCGAGCATTCGCATGCTCCTTGTTGAATTTGAACTTTTCGTACTTGGCCCACACATCCTCGGACGTGATGAGGGCGCGGAGATCGGTGGCCTGGATGGCGGCATGACACGTGGACGGGACAGCGCCGCCGTCCTCGGGGGGAAATGCGAAGAAGCACGTGGGATACACCATGCCGTCCGTGATCTTGGACGTCACGTAGCCTTCCAAGCACTCGATGCAGAACCGATGGCCGCATGCGTCGAGTGCGATGGTCGTCGCGACGTCGACGTATTCGAGGCAGATTTGACAGTAGCACGTCTCGACAAACCCCATAAGCGACCCCAGGGAGCGCAGCAGCGAGTCGGTTGCCGAAGGCTGCTGGTCAATGATGTTGTGTTCCAAGGACGGATGGTGGGTGTGGTGGAACCCACCGCCGGGTGTCGTGGCGGCACTTCCCCCACCAGCCCCCGACATGGACCGCCCAAACGACGTCAGCCGCATTAACACGTTGAGGGCGTAGCTGGGGTCGCTGGCTTCCTTGACTAAGGTCAGTTTCCTTGGTGTAGCCGGTGTCTCCACAACGCGGTCATGAATAGCGTGCTTGATGTCGATGGCGGTACTAGTCCACAGTCGGGCATTCTGGCGTTCATGTGAATCCAACGTGGATATGATGCACACGGCAGAAACGTTGCCCCCATCCCTCGCTGTCATGGCATCAATTTTGGATTGTATCTCCAGAAGGACCTCCAGCAGCGCTTCCGGGGACTCTGCCTCCCACAGCCGGCTGAAGTACGACTCGTCTGCATCCATCCTGGCTGTTGGATTGCTCGACTTGGTCGAGGCAACTTGTTCTCAGTATCCGGATACGAGAAAACGACAAACATTCTCAAATAACTTCAATTGCTTTACCGACCCAGCAGCGCCATGCCGCGAGAAGGGAGTTCTCGGTAACAGCCAAAGAACGGGACAAGGAATGCGGGGCCGCACTCGAGGCGCTACTGTTGATCAGGTATCTTCATACGCATGTAGCGATATTAGTTATCGCAGCAAGCTCGTTGTCTATGCAATATCCAAGGCATGGTTACATGCAGACGGCTCTGCCAAGAAATAGTGTGTTGAAAAGTACAAACCATCCGGACTCGGTAGAATTCCGGATAAAATGGCCGTTACACTTTTTGAAGATTTGGATTCGTTTTTGGACGACGACTTGCACGAGGGAACGCCACGGCTTCGATGAGTCTCTTTGAGGATGTGTTGATCGTCGAGTTCGAGAAGAAGACACAGACGCCGCAGATTGCATGGCGATATCTCACCGACGCTGCATGTGCCCACGTGAACAACAACTCAACCATCCCCATTGGCCTTGCAGCAATTTGCGCGCCGGCGGCGGGCAAATGCCAAAAGCGGTACGAGTCAGTCATGATAGCTTACCAGCACTTAGTTCACTCAATTTTCATGGCAGGGGTATGGAGTTCACGTTTACGATATCGGACGGACGGGCGCGGCAGCAATACGGCTTTGTGAAGCAGCTCTTCGTGGCGTCGACGGACGAAGAACTATCCACGCATGTCGTGTGCATTCTTGGCCCAAAGTAACATTCCACGGAGCCTTTTGTTTTGGCTTATATCTTACCGATATTCTTTCTAGGCCCATGTACGTGTGGTTTACGTGGATCCTGCGCCTCGTCCACGCGCGCCTCCTGCACGATCCGTCCCGCGGGTCGGCAGTCGAATTGCTGAATGCAATCCGAAAAGCCGGCACTACCGATCACAGCGACTTTACATTTCGCCTTGCGTTGGATCATGGCGCAAGTCCAGCCTTGTACACGTTTCCATTGCACCCGCCTGGGGCGTTTGGCATGCGCACGATGGAGCCTCACATTGTAAGCCAAGTCCGACCTTGGACAGCGTTCACTTATGTTCTTTTTTAGCTCAACAACCGATCGTTCACGAACAAGCTGCAGTCGCCTACGGTGCTCTTGGTCCTTCTGAGCGCTCTCTTGCACGAGCAAAAGGTGTTGCTTGTCCACGACGAGCGCGACGTTCTTCGAGGCACATGCCAGCTCTTGCTGCGCCTTCTCGCTCCGTTTACATGGAAAGTATGACCCTCATTTCGACGACAATATGCTTGGTTTTGGCTCTCACACGACTCTCTACGACGCTAAAGAGTGTTGTGCATTGCTGGAATATGTGGAAGTTGCAAATGTTTTCATGACCATTCTTCTTGTATCGATGATGCTAATGTTTGTCTCTGGCATAGCATCTCCTCATCCCAGTCCTGCCCGAGGAGCTACTGCATTACGCCCACGCGCCGATTCCGTACTTGATGGGCGTCACCACGGATGCATACAGCAAAGCCTCGAGTATTATCACCAACGCCATCGTGTTCAACCTCCACGAAGAACGCATCGAGCTGCGCAACTTGACCGACGGGTTTCCCACGCTGTGCTGTGACGCATGTCCAGTCATTCCCCCCGCGTCCACTGCGACCGTGCCCTTTGCCAAACTGTCCACTCGTACGTGTCCTTCCCTATCTCGAATCTTGCGTACCCTCACGAGGAGTGACGCTTCCAGGGCATACTTCACCCAACTCCAACCATTCTGCGGTCGACACGTTCCGCCATGATCTACAGCATTGTTTCATGAACACCCCAGGTACTACTACATGCGTACATGATGGCTGATATACATCCAAGGAAGAATCCATGACCTGGTGATGCCTTGCATTGGTACAACGATGTAGATGGCATCGAAGCATGCGTGAATGCGTTCTTCTTTCACGTGTTTGGCCAGGTTGACGTGGCCAATAAATCTGGGATCATCCAGGATGTGATGGACCAGTTTTTACGCACCGCAAACGCCATCCATCCGCCGTCGTTGGTGCGTTCTTGGGCGTCCAACCAACTCACAAAAGACGGCGTTAGGTGCGCTTCCTCACGGCTCTGAGCTCACGGGAGGTGCTTCTTTTGTACTTTGCGCACGTCGTGGCGTCGCCCAAGGGTGCTCATTTCCACGGCCCTGCCGCAGTGTGCGGGCGAAGCGCCGACCCGTCGTCATACGTGTCTCTCAAACGCTTGCTGCAAAAACGGTACGAACGTCTCCGTGGATTGGCTACACGTGGCATCGTGTGTCGTAGTGCCACGTATGTCCAAGAGTACCCGAGTATCGTACAGATCTTGAACGGGTTTTGCGGCCATGGATCGACAAACGGCAATGTGGACCGAGGATGGACAACCAAGGAGCTGCGACCGCTCGCCGATGCCAGCTACCACATGTACGCAACCAACCGATTGCAGATACGTCGGAACCACGGCGACATTCCGACGTGAGTAGGGACCAATGTGCGTTGATGGTGGACATTCTATGGGAGCGGCTGGGCGATTCCAACTTTTCTACGTTGTCGGCGGTTCGTACGAATTCGCCCAGACTGCCACGTCATGATGATGTGCCTGCAGGTGCTGCATATGCTCGTGTTCTTGGCCATCCATGGCTGTGAAATCGCCATGGAGTACATGCGATTCAAGGAATGCCAGCGCGACCACTGCCAGTTTCTGCAACGCCACCCCGCCAAAAGTACGCAGAACAACCGCTCGCAAGACCGACTGAATATGTATTAGGCATCGTGGACAACGCCGCGATGTTGCTCGATTTCATGGCGTCACCGCACCGATGGTTCGCCATGCGTGCGTCGAGAAGCCAGGAGCTGTGGCTGTCGACTGTGGTGTTCCCACGCTTGGACATTCGACCGATGGCGAAAGGGGTGCCGTCCTTCGCCGCGCTACACCACACCATAGGACGCTTCCATCAACCCGTGCACTCTGTGAATTTGCTCGACTTGGACTATGGAGTCCCACCATCCTCTTCGTCCTCGGGCGTCAAGATGGCGGCAGTCAACGACGATCCGTTTGACACGAATGCGGCCTTTCCCACACATTGGGGCTAGCCCCGTGGCCCGTGACACGGCCACAAGATCGCTGGATCCCTCGGATTAGTGGATTGACGTTTGTAGTCATTTTCATACTATGATTAGTGTATGTAACACTAAATCCGATTGTCGTATAATACTGTGTACCACACTAATTACGTTTAGTACTAACGTAACCGATCAGTCCCGTGCGCCACGATCAATTCCGTGCGCCAACTTTCCACCAATTACTACGTAGTACATGACTCTGCAAAAACTCTTCCTTCCCATACTTGTATAAATTAATATTACATCCACGATTGACTTAAAGAGGTGAATTTTGAACCATGACTGGGCGGGAACCTGCCACTCGTGAGTGCCAACAGCAATGCCGACCCCACAGCGCATGGGGCTTAGCCGGCAGTACTCCAAGGAGAAGCTCCTCGAGGCATCTGCTGACGTTATCAGTGGCACCCTGTTATCCAAGCAGGCGTCTGTCAAGTATGCAATACCTCAGCGTACAATCCAGAAGGGGTACACAGTCGCAGGGTGGTTGAAGTTTCGAAAGGGTGTTCAGGATGGAGAGCTCACTCTGCCACCTCGTACTTCGGAGTTAGACTCAAGCAAGACTGTTACCGTTGCCGGTCGCCTGCTTACGGTGAAGTTGCTCCGTGATATTGATGCGTCCAAGGAAGCCAAGGCAGCTGCGACT